GCAAACACTTGAAGGGTGTTCGGTTGATTCTCTCCCGCGGCTTCAGCCGGGGCTGTCTGTCCTTCTGCTACAGGACAACGCCCGATCGCTCTGCTCTGAGCCGGGTTTGCAGAGTTGCCCGGAGGAGCTGGGGTCCCCGGGTGCTCGAGTTCCCTCGCTGGTAGGCGGGGCCAGGGGCCAGGGGTGGGCGAGCAGGCTGCAGTAGAGTCACCGTCATGAGCCAGGACCCTGGAATTTGAAAAACTCCTTCCTGCCCGTGGGACCTTGGGCAAGTTCCCCAACCTCGCTGCACCTCAGTTTCCTCCTCTGTGAAATGGGGACAGTCCTAGTACCTTATTATAATCATAGTGAGGATTCAAGAAGGTCGTGTATAAAAGAGCTGAGTAGGGTGCCAGGGGGGAAAGCAAGGGACCAATAAATGATAGCTGCTATTATTGCTATTATTATTGTTATTATTATTATTTTATTATTATATTGTTTATTATTATTATTTGAGGAGCAGCATAGCTAGCAGTTAAAAGCATGGACTCCTGGGTTCAGATCCCAGCTCAGCCACTCTCTAGGGTGACCTTGGGCAAGCTACTTAGCCTGTCCGAGTCTGTTACATTTGTATCATGGAGGGAACTAAGGTACCTACCTCAGAAGATTGTTATGGGAATTAAGTGTGTTAACACCGCTAAAGTGCTCAGAAGTGAGGGCTGTGGGTCGGCTATGAATTCTTCCATTTAACCAAGCAGCTACAACCTTGCTTTGCTTTGAATTTGAAATATTATTTGTGCCGACACTGATCCGTTTTGTGATGAGAGACGTGGGTTTTCTTCTTTCCCCTGTGGCCTCACTGACGCTGGCAGCTGGTCTGCTGGGGTCAAGGTTAGTCCCGGAGAAGGGGCTGATGGGACGGAGGGGCCCCAGGAGTTGCCTTCAGTGAGAAGAAGGAAGGTTGGGAACAGGAGCTTTGGAGGAGGGGAAAACCTTTCTTTTCATGTGGCAGAAAATTGAATCTGCACCTAGGTTTTTCAAACAAACTCTTGCTAACATTTTTGCCTTTGAATTGCAGTGAGAGAGGAGGTGGGGATGGGCAATATTTTAAATCATAAAATGAATTCCACTCCTCTCGGCCAGAGGTGAGTGACATGATTCTGAGGGTCAGAGAGGGTTTCCTTCCTCCTAGCCGGATTGTGTATACCTTTGGGGTGGGGTGGGGTGCAGTTTGGAGCGGTTTAGCTGCCTCTGGATATCTCCCCTCCATCCCCAGCACTCTAATTCCTTTGCATCCTAAACCTGAAACCCATGAGCATCATAAGTTTGAAAGCCTGCCAGCTTTTCTCTCACTCCCAATTTTGGATGATATCTCATGGGTTGAGGAGGGAGCAAAAAATAACTCATGGAGTCCAGAATCCTGCCTGAAGAGCTGGATGGGGCACACTGAGGTTCTTGTCTCAGACGCAGGCCCTCTGTGGGGAGCCCCTTCATATCCTACTCCACATTGGAGCATGTGTCATTTGCCTCTGTCACTCATGGTCGGCACAGGGGACAGAGTGTTCGTATCTCCTCCTCTATACCAGTGCTCACACTGGTGGGACGTGGTCACTTAGCTATCCAGACTTTGCAAACCAAGTGGCCCAGGACCCCATCTCTTTCCTTCGCCTTTTAGTCCCCGGAGCTGCTAATTAACTGCCTAGGGTGTGTGTGGGGTTTTTTTTGGGGGGGAGGGGAGGAAGCACCCAACACAATACCGGCCCCTCCCAGGCATGTAGCATGGTGGTAAAGGCTGAGGTTCTAATCCAGCACCTCCGTGTAGGATCGCCACCTCTCTGAGCTCCTTTGCCTCCTCTGTGACATGGAGATAATACCGTGTTTCCACGAAAATAAGACCTAGCCGGAGAATAAACCGTAGCACCCCTCACATGAGGATTTTATGACTTGTTATGGGGAGAAGGGTGCCTTTTCCACAAACCCCTTCAGCTTAAAATATTCAGTATGCCAAGGTGTCATATTTTGGCACCTAAAATCATGCGAGGGCTTATTTTCCGGCTAGCTCTTATTTTCAGGGAAACAGGGTAATAGTACCCCTACTTGCAGGGCTATTGAGACATGAAATGAAATATACGTAGATTACATGTATATAGATATAGTTATGAGACTATATTATCTCATGTTATAACTATATATCTCATGTTATGAGACTATAACATCTCATGTTATAATCATGAGATGACCCTACATACACACACACACACACACACACACACATATATATATATATATATGAATTCATTTCTAAAAAGAATGTTATTTCACATCTGTAATTGAACTTTCTGTAATTGAGCTGCACCACATACATTGATGGATGTGGTAATTTGCTTTCCAACACTCTCCCCGAAACAAAACTGTTATTAAATCAAAGTGTACTCTATCTTAGAATCAAGGAACTGTGACCCAGCCCCGGGCAAATATTAAGTGGCTGATAGTCGTAGGCTATTGTTCTATCAGGTGACTTAGGAACACGAAGGGCTTGACTATAACGAGAAGAAATGAAACAGAAACTTTGCACTTTCAGTAAAACCACAGGAGAAGGGCCCAGAAGACACAGCCGGCCAGGAAAGGACTGAAAATGATCCAAGAGGACTGTCGGGAAGTTCTCCTGGCCGATTTTATCTGTCAGCATTGATTGGCGGAGCGCTTGCTCTGTGCCAGCCCCTGAGCTGGGCACTAGAGGGCAGGACGACCTAGGAATGCTGCCCTCCTGGAGGGCAGGCTAATGGAGGCGACAAGGTGACAAGGCCCAGGGGACAATACTCAGTCACCTCGAGGCATAGGAGGTGCTGAGGCTGACTGGGTTGCTCAGAGGCCTCCTGCCTCAGGCACCAGGGGAAAGGTTCTTTAAACCTGTGCAGTGATTCACAGGTTAAACCTTACCCAGCCCCCACATGCCCGGCCTGGGGTCCACTAGAGGAGGAGGCAGCTCTTTGGCACATGTGGTTGCCAGCGTACAAATGTCCTGGAGAACAGGCCAAGGCCTCCGGCTGCAGACTGTCCAGCCCAGAGAGGGAAACGGGAAGGAGGCTTCCGAGGGCACATGGGCTGGTGTTTCCCAGTGCCCGGCCTCTGTGCCCGTGCCCGCAGGCCTCGGGGTGCCAGCTCACTCACCTGCCTTTCCTCTCTGCGCCTGCAGCCCACCTGCCCTTCCAAGTGCCAACCTCGCCATGGCTCCCGGAGAGAAGATCAAAGCCAAGATCAAGAAGAACCTGCCGGTGACAGGGCCTCAGGCGCCCACCATCAAGGAGCTGATGCGCTGGTACTGCCTGAACACCAACACCCACGGCTGCCGCCGCATCGTGGTGTCCCGTGGCCGGCTCCGGCGCCTGCTCTGGATCCTCTTCACGCTGACCGCGGTGGCCCTCATCTTCTGGCAGTGCGCCCTCCTTGTCCTCTCCTTCTACACCGTGTCCGTCTCCATTAAAATCCACTTCCAGAAGCTGGACTTCCCTGCAGTCACCATCTGCAACATCAACCCTTACAAGTAAGAGGCGGGAGCAGGGACCCCACTGCAGACGCCATGGCCCCTCTTCAAGGGGCACACGCCAGCCTGCAGACTTGCTTTTTAGAAATCCGAACCCATTGCCGACATTGGTACACCGCCCTCCCCCAAGTTCTGAATCTGGACCAAGTTTTCAATCCATCAGCTGCTTCTGAGGGTGGGCTAGCCCAGGGAAGGCAGGAAGGGGAGGCTGCAAGGATCAGGTTCACGTGAAGGGTAAACCCAGGATGAGCTATCACCTCCCCTCACCCCTGACCTTGGACACACACACACACACACACACACACACACACACACACACACGTGTGCGCGTGTGCACGGCCCAGTTTAGCCATTTCCTCTGATCGTTCCAAGCTCACACCCTCACTCTCCCCAGATGGGAGCTCAAGGCTGACTCACAAGTGACACCCGGGTGACTTCCAGAAGCATCTCAGCTGCCCCAAATCCTCACCTGAGTGAACCCAGCCCCACTAATTGAGCTCATTGGACTCTGGGCAGAATCAGCCCTCGGTACTGCCCTATCGTCTGCCGCGGGACCTGTTCTAAATGGGTCATTGGCATCTTTCTCAGGATTATTGAAAACTGGTCTGTGAGGCAGATCAGAATCTTTCAGGATTTGTCAGAGCAGGTGTGGGAGTGGAGAGATGGGACGAGCAGAGGAGGGAGATCATCAAAGGGAACTAGCTGCTCTGGAGTCATGAGTTGATGGCAGAGCTGAAAACCAAAGTCAAGTCCAAGACTCATTCCCCATCTCAAAGTCTTTCTTTTCTTCCTTTTTTTACCCCCTGCTTCCTCCCTTCCTTCCTCTCTCTCCCTCCCTCTCTCCCTCCCTCCCTTCTTTCTTCCTTCTGTTGATTACTTATTTCATAATCCTCTAGAAATTATCACACACTATGCTCTGTTCTGGGGCATAGAACTGAACAACCCAATCACAGTCTTTGTCCTGATGGAAGTGACGTTGTACTAGAGGAGTGAAATCCTAACAAATATAATTAACATTAATAAAATTAATAATAGTGACCATTGAATTAGATGATAGATCAATAGATGATAGATAGATCAGTAGGTAGGTAGGTAGGTAGGTAGGTAGATAGATAGATAGATAGATAGATAGATAGATAATACGTTCATTGCCTCTTCCCAATAACCCCATTTTACAGATGGGGAAACTGAGGCTAAGTGACTTTTCTAAGGTACACATCCAGAACCAGGATGGGGAACTGGAAGCCCGTAGACTCTCTGGAGTTTATGTGCTCGGTCATTATGCTGTGCTGCGTATGCACAGAGCAAGGAGGAGAGAGAGAGGGCAGAGTTAAGAAGGAGGCCAGCACCATTTGGTATTGTGAAAATTAAAAGATGGCGTCGTGATGCTTCAAGCAGTCGACTCCCCTGTCAGTCTTCTGTGTTCTTGGGGTTGTCATGGTAACCATGACACCTCTTCTCTCCCAGCACTGTTTCCTGGAGAATTGCAGGGCAGGGGAAAATGTGCTGGGTGGGGACAGAGCCTGCCCCCTGGGTAGACTCCCAGGCTTCAGTTATTTACTTGTCCTCACTGTGGCTGGTTTGGGGAGGCACCTACAGTCACCACTCCTGAAATGCTGGTTGGGGCAAACTCATCAACACACCCCGAGAGCAAGCAGACAGCATGGCAGAGGTGAAGCCACAGGAAGTCACACAAGGGTCACCCAGGGAGCTGTCCCCATTCACACGAGCCAGCGGTCACTTTGGATGGGGCATATCAGAAAAGGTCTGGTCGCCTCAGCCAAGGGGACGGGAACAGCAGGCACAGGGCTGACACGCGTGGATGGAGAAGGGCCAGCAATGTGCCAGAGGGGCCTCAGCTCTCCCCGCTTTCCCCCTCCCCACCTTGGCAGGTACAGCGCCGTGAGGCCCCTTCTAGCCGACCTGGAACAGGAGACCAGAGCGGCCTTGAAGACCCTCTATGGCTTCTCGGAGATTGAGTCTCGGAAACGCCGAGAGGCTGAGCCCTGGAGCTGGGCATGGGAGGGCGCCCATCCTCGATTCCTGAACCTGATCCCATTGCTGGTCTTCAAGGAAGGTGAGACCAACACGGCCACCGACTTCCTCACCGGGCGGAAGCGGAAAGTCAGTGGAAACATCATTCATAAGGCATCGGACGTCGTGCATGAGTCCAAGGAGGTGGTGGGCTTCCGGCTGGTGAGTGCACGTGCTCACGGTTTGTGGGGGGGGGCATGGGTGGGCTGGGGGAACTGGGTGCAGGGAGGTTTCTCCTTGACCGTTAGCCCCCAGTGACCCGCTGGAGGAAACACACCCAGTCAGGGTGAATCAGCCGCAAACAACTGAAGCGGACATAGGCCATCTTAAGCAGAAAGCAAACGTCCTTGAAGGTGACCAGTAGCTTACGGAGGCCTCTGAAAGGACGGGCATTAGGGAAGATCTAGGGGTCTTGGTGGCAAGAAATGATGGAATGTCATTTCAGATACTGCAGCTGGATTAAATATGCTTGGACTGTTTTCAGTCACTTTGTTCATCCACCAATGTTCGTCACATTGGACTCTCTGATGGCCAAGCCTGGGTCGCCTGTTGGCTCGCAGAGGGCGGGTATCTTGATGGACAGTCTTTCCAGACTGTATCCAAAGGGGGAAAGCAAAATTCTACCAAAGCGAAACCGGGGTGCAGATACCAGAAGGAGGAAAATAAGTAATAATCAGCAGAAACACCCGATGTTCCCTGCATCACTCGCCTTCATGAGGGGCTCTGGCCTGACTTATCTCTGCTCTTGGCCCCATTTGAGGTACTCGGAAGAAGCAGCCATTCACCAAAAACGAGTTCCATGACCCGCCCCTGGCAAACTCACTCAGCACCCTGCTTCCATGCCCCACCCTCACTACAGGACTAACGCCACTTCTAGACCTGGTGGCTGTAGCCTTGAGAGCTGATTGGGGGATTCATGGCCCCAGTCCCAGATGCTGAAAAAATGTCCCTTAATCACTGTCCTGGGTCCTTTCATTAGATACCCACAGGGTTCCCTTTGACACCAAAATCAATCCTTTGACATCTGTCTTTTAGGGGCGTTTCCAAGCCCTGTGTGATGAGAACATCTGGAATGTGCCACTGTTTCCCGATAAAGCTCTCGTTGTTGTATATATTTAGAGTGCTGCACCTCCCAACTCCCATACGAGGTTGGGAGGGATGGTATTGTCGTCAGCATTTTTGTCGGTGAAATGATGGATACAAAATGGCTCAACCAAAGATCCCTCAGCGAAGCAGGGTCAGAGTCTGGGCTGGAATCCAGAGTTGTAGGCTGTGGAGCCAGTGGGAGATGGTGAGGGTTGCAGAGGAACTCAGGGGCGACGCTCAGCCAAAGTCCGGGTGTCTGGGGACACTGAAGAAGCTGGTTTTGCTTTTTGCCTGATAGGGAGTCACGTCCTTCTTGGTCCTTAAGGGTTGAGGATGATGCCTTCCAGCCCCCAGATGTGCGGAGAAGCCCATCCTTGCTCAGAGCCCCTTCCTGTCCCCCTGAGTATCTGGCCTAGAGCCTCAGTTCATCTGAAGGCCGCTGTAGGGCCGGAGGCTTCAGCCTGGTGTCTCTGCTTGTTCACAGTGTTCGAACGACACATCCCACTGTGCCGTGTACACCTTCAGCTCAGGGGTCAACGCCATCCAGGAGTGGTACAAGCTGCACTACATGAATATCATGGCACAGGTGCCCCTGGAGAAGAGAATCGACATGAGCTACTCTGCCCAGGAGCTGCTGGTCACCTGCTTCTTTGACGGCGTGTCCTGCGATGCCAGGTCAGGAGGACAGGGCTGCTTTCCCCGCTCTGGGAACCGGGCCCCTCGCATGTCCTGCAGCTCAGCTGTAGGTCTGGGGAGGGAAAGACACTCTTCTCACTGCCCCTGCTCTTTGGGAAACAGCGTACATAGAAGCTTGGCTCCAGTCAGTCAGGAAGATGGACGTGGCACAGGGTCAGAATGTCCTGAAATGCATTCAATTCCTCATAAAAAACAGAGTAGTTGATGGTGTACGTGTACTACCCTGTATGTGACCATTATGCATACCAATGACTGAGAACCACTGGGCTAGTATAGAGGAGGGACAGACAGAGGAACTCTGTGAGGTGATTCCTCCCCTGGGGATCATTTCCTAACGGGGGATTGGCATGGGAAAATGTCAAGTGTTGGCTGAGAACTTCAAGAGGAGAGGCATTGGGGGCAGACATATGGCACAGGAGATGCCAAGTCAGGATGGAGACAGAGACGAAGCGTTAAGAGGGAGCACAGAAAGCAGAGAGCTGTTCTGCCAACGCATCAGCCTGGATGAGGGGCCTTGTTTGTCGTCTCTCAGAGGAACGGTGGGGAACGCGAGTCACATCCATCATCCACTGCCTGCAAAAGGGAGTCGGCCCCGTGGCCAGACATCGGCTCTGATGCACCAGGGGAGTTCCCAGCACAGCCCCTTCTGACCCCCTGCTCTTCCTCCGTAGGAACTTCACGCTTTTCCACCACCCGATGTATGGGAATTGCTACACATTCAACAATAAACAAAACGAGACTATCCACAGCACCTCCATGGGAGGCAGCGAATATGGTAAGAAAATCTGCACCGAGGAGACCCTGGGGCGGCAGGGTGACTGGGGGTGTTTGAGCCCCCGGAAGTACAGTCTCTGTCCACATGGGACAGCACTTGTCCTTTTGCATTGTCCCCATCAGGGTCCCCATTGGTTCCTTCCTTCTTTATTAGTCTGGCCTGTTTTCCTTTTTTGACATCTCCTCCTTTCCTTTGAGAGAGAGTCAGCGACGTGGCTGGGGTTCCCTCTCCTGGGAAACCAGTCTGGTTTAAGCTTGTAGCTGGAGTGAGTAATGCTGGGCAGGTGGACTTAAAGCCAGGTATGCTGGGCAGGAGATTAGGGAGGCAAACACACCTTGATCTTGGCTAAGAGGACAGGCTCCGGAGCCAAAACCCAGCTCTGCCGCTCAGTGTGTGGCCATGCACAAGTCACTGCCCTTCACGTGTGGACTGAGGGTATAATAGTAATAGGAGCTCTGGAATAAGGTCCCTGAGAGAGCTGAGAACGTGGAAAGCACTTAGAATGAGACCGGACACAGACATGATCAGTCTGCTCTGGTGGCAGTCTGCACACGGGTGGCTTAAACAGCAGACATGGATTTCTCACAGTTATAGAGGCCTGAAGTCCAGGATCAAGGTGCCGGCCACTTTGGTTGCTGGTGAGGCCTGTTGCCCTGGCTTGTCGGTCAGCCGCCCTCCTCTGGGGCCCTCACATGGCCTTTCCTCTGTGGCGTGCAGAACGAGAGCTTGCTCCAGTGTCTCTTCTTCTTCTTATAAGGACACCGGTCCTATGGGATCAGAGCTCCACGCTTATGACTTCCTCTAACCTTAATGACCACCCTAGAGACCCCATCTCCAATTATAGTCACAGTGAGGGGTAGGGCTTCAGGATATGAATTTGAGGGGGGTTGCGAAGGGGACTCAATTCAGTCCACAACACACACGAAGCACACAGAAATGCTAGCTGTGGCTGTCATTTGTGCTGTCACTGCCATTCCTACTGAGCATAGCTGCTCTTCTACCATTGCTGTTGCCACCGTTGCCACCCACGGTGCCGCCACTGCCTCCAGTATGACTGCTTCTCCTGCTCTACTGGTGATCTGTGGGAAGCTGGAAACTCAGCGGCTGGCCTGGCTGACCCACAAAAGGAATCCTTGAAAGGTCCTCAGCACGTGGAACGTGACCGATACACAGACATGCTCCCAAAAGGACAGACAAGGCCTTGTCACGGAGGAAAGCCCTACTTGGACTCCTAGGCTTGGTTACTGCACAGTCTGGGTTCTTTCCAAGTCTGCGAGAAACCATGGTCCCGTGGGAAATAGCAATTAGGGAGCTGGGAGCCGGGAGCTGAGCGTCCCCAGTCCTGGCTTTTCCCCCGTGAGGACTGTGGGATGTTGAGGAAACCGCTTTCTCACTGTGGGCTTCGGTTCCACTATCTACAAATAGAAGAAGTCAGAACTGCCCTCCACATTCCCTTCTTTCGGCCCATGTCGGCCCTGCTCCCCCGTTCCTTCGTTTACCAAACATCGAGTAGCAGCTGTCTGCTGTGTCATCAAAGCCTTGACAGCCACGGTCAGATTAATGGATTTATTCTAGAGCATTCCCACACATCCAATGAGCTGCCGCTGAAGGGTTATGAGGCAAGGGGGTGACCTGCTTTGATTTCTGATTTTAAAAGGTCCCTCTGGCTGCTGGGTGCAGAATAGACAGCAGGGGAGAATGGGAGCGGGGAGAGAAGTTGGAGCGGGGGTCAGATACCCCATTAGTGCTTCGTCTTGTCCCTGGGCGCCCTCCATGAGGCGTTAAGCAGCCACAGCTCTGCACGTCTGCTTGGATGGTCAGCAGAGCTCCCCATCTCAATGGACCCCGTGGAGATGTCCATCCCAGGCAGGGTGTCAGGCAGTTCCCTTACGCTCAGCAGAACTGCGATAGTGACACTGTTTTTGAGCCCCTATTTTGTGCTAAGCCCTGGGGGACACAACTGCTAATCCGTGGACCTTCCGGCCTCGCCCCTGCCCACCTGTCACTTGTTGGGAATGCTGGGGTCATGGTTGGGAGGTTTCCAAGGCAGAGGGAGAGGCAGGCTGCCCCCGGGAACGTTCTCCTAGCCTTTGGCCTCAGCAGGCTGCCTTCTCTTCCCAGGGCTGCAGGTCATCTTGTACATAAACGAGGAGGAGTATAACCCCTTCCTGGTGTCCTCCACGGGGGCTAAGGTGATCGTCCATCGGCAGGATGAGTACCCCTTCATCGAGGACGTGGGGACAGAGATCGAGACGGCGACAGCCACCTCCATAGGGATGCACCTGGTAAGTCTGATTTCTGTAGACGCCGCGAGAAGCGCAGATTTTTTTCAAAGATAACCAGTGAGGTGCAGCTTACGGAAATGAGCGTCTGTTTCCAAAGGCAGCATGCGCCTGTATTTTCCTGTGGTCACCGCTCTGGTCATTCCAGTAGTTACACTGAAGCCTGTCTGTGTATCTTCTGTATGGACGAGCAAGGACAGGATGCCATCTGGGGAAAGAATTTGAAGGAAGTTTCCTTGTTCCAAAGACATCCGCGTTTGTGGAACTTGTGCTGGGAGCAAGGCATCAGACATGTTTTTCCCAGTAATAGAAATCAAGTAGATTAACACCTTCCTGGGTCACCCAGAGGCTTCGGCGGCCTGTTTCAAGGCTAATGGAAGTCACTGGACCATCAGAGGTCTAAGTGCCCATCACACTTCCATCCGTTTCACCTCATTTACCCCCTTCTCCTTCAAGTCTTTGACCTTCTCTGACCTCCCTGGGTGCTGAGAACACACACCTATCAACTGAAGCACGTCTGGGTTGCAGACTCCATCCCGAGTCCCCTGTGCCCAGTGGGAGCAGAAGGGCAAAGCAAGAAACATGCTGTAATCCTGGGGTGTTTTATGCCTCTCTCTCTCTCTCTCTCTCTCTCTCTCTCTCTCTCTCTCTCTCTCTCTCTCTCTCTCTCTCTAAGGTTGACTCTTAAGAACTTATTTAAAGGGAGAATATACACACAGTAAAAAACCCAAACCATAACAAGGAATACACCCCTTTCCATCCTGACCTCCGGCCCCTCTTTTCTCTCGCTGCTGCTCGTGTGTGTTAGCAGAGGTGTCATAGTGTCCTCCAAGTACGTGCATCTGGGGACAGCACTTCTACGCAAACACGAAATACTGCTCCGCCCTATTTTTCACATGATACTTTAGCTTGGCAAGGGTTCCTTGTCATCCGCATAAACCTGCCTCATTCTTCTTAAAGACCCACGACACTCATTGTGTGGCTAAGTGACGGAGCCACTTCCCTCTTGACAGACAGTAGGTCCTTTCTAGGCACAACTAGAAGTAATGTGCTATGTGATGTGCATTTGGTCACTTCCTAGAAGGACATCAAAGATTATGTGTGTATAAGCCACGTGTCCCAGTAGCTGGTCCCCTCCCCCTCTCACCAACACAAGTATTAACCAACTTTTAATCTTTGCTAATCTGTTGAGAGAAAAATGGTATCTATTATCATTTTAATTGACACTCCTTAGTGGCTTGTTGTTGTTTTTTACCTGTTTGTGGGGGGGAGAAATGTCCTTATGGACTGTCTGTGAGGCCTTTTTTTATACCCAACCTTACTGCCCCGAGTTAAACTTCTCAGCTTTCACTCCTCACAAATGTGTCCTCCAGAGCCATGATTTCCAAACCTGGGTGAGTATCAGCCTCAGATCTGCTGAGCCTGACTCTCTGAGGGACAAGCCCAAGGATCTGTGCTTTTACCAAACTCCAGTGGTTATTCCAAGAGGCAGCAAAGCCAGGAACCTCAGCTTTTGAAACCTGAGTAGCTCAGCATGAGAGGAGAAGCAAAGTGTGTCTCCCCAAACAAGAGTCAAACTCGAAGGACACAAAAGGTTTAGCACGGCCACAGATGGTGGCTTTGTGTTGGGTTTGAAAGCGATATGGTTGCCATTGGGCTGGTATATCTATCCATTATTTATCCATTCAACACATATTTTGTCAGCCCTTCTATGTGCGGGACACTGGAGCACATCAGTGCAGAAGACACTGTCCTGATGGAACTTAGAGTCCAGCAAAGAGGACCAATAACAGGCAGAAAATTACACAAACGATTAATTATAATCTTCCTAAGTGCTAAGAAGGAGAAACGCAGGACTCATGACAGCATATCATGGGGAGCCTGACCTAGGGCTTTTTTATGGGGTGGGGGGCGTTGTGGAGTTCAAGGAATGCTTTCCTGAGGAGGTGATACTGATGTTGAGACAGCAGAGATGATGAGTTGGAATGGGGGTACCCCAGAGGAAATGTGTGGCTTCAGTGCCTCATGGGTCAAACCACAGGGGAACCCTAGACAGGAGAAGCTGTCAGGATGGTGGTCTGCGAACCCAAGGGAGGCACATTGTTTAGGGCCTTTGTTCTAACGTGGGAAGTTTGTTCCACCGTGAGACGTGTTATGTACCAACTCGGCAGTGTGAATGCCAATTGCCCAAGAAAAAAATCTTGAGCCCCAACCTGCTCAAACCGTGGCTTGAAAAGGCTTTGTGGTTCCACTTAAGGACCTGAGTCACTGAATCCTCTGTTCACCCAGCTCCTGGATCAGAATAGCGAACACTCTGGGCCAACACTTCCCATGCAGCTTTATCTGCACCCTGAAGAAAGACCTGGAATTTGTAACACATCCTCCCCTTACCCTCTCACTCCCTCCCTCCCATCTGCCTCTCCCAGTGTCTGCAGACTTGGAGGGGACTTACAGAGCTTGGAAAGGTCCGAGAACCAAGGAATTCTGCCCTCTGGTTTTCTGCTTAGAAGTACCCACCACGTGGTTACGCAAATGTTCTCTTTACCAATGGTGGGTAAACAAAGCTATGGGTGGGTTTTTGGCTACACCTAATTTGAGATGTATAAAATCAAAGCCACAGAACAGGGTCTGTCAGCTCTAAGTTCTGATTTATGAGCATTTAAAACAACAAAAACCGGGATTACTAAGAGGTCAGCCGGTAGTCACTAAGCATAAGGTCAAACAAACTAGACTTCCTTCCTTTCTGATTTGTGCTTTATTTATTTGTTGCATGGGCGTGCTAAGCTGGGAGACACAGCAGTGGGTCAGGCAGCTGGTTAAAACATGTCTCCATTCATTGAGGGATGGTGTGTGCAAGCACTGGCTATTCAGAGAGAAATACAACAGCACACCTTACCTTTAGATCTTACCTCTAAGAGGAGAAGTCAACACACCTTTGCAATGCAGTTCCCAGCTCTGTGGGGATAGGGATCTTTTCTGCCTTGTTCCCAGGTTCAGCTCCTAGAACACAGATCCAAATACTGTTGGATGAATGGATGGATAGACAGGTAGATGGATGGATGGATGGATGGAAGCCCAGACAGAAGCTATTGGTGAAGGCTTTCAGATGATGGATTCTTGAAAGACAGAACTCTATCTCAGGCAAATGCCGTCAGGAAAGAATAGCCCAGACAAAGGGCAGAGCAGCTACAAGGTGGTCACAGAGGATTTTAAGCCGTGTCATGAAACTTTTTGAAAAATCGCTTCGACTGAAGGGCAATCAGGTTACTGGAGGCAGCACATTCCCAGTAATTCCAGAAAGAAATGACACGCACCTTCACTGAGGCAGTGGCGGTGGGGATGGGCAGAAGTGGGTGGACCTGAGAGATTACAGCACGGAAGCAGTCGAGCTTGACAACCTACGTCAGTGAGGAAGGGCCAGGGGAAGTTAGATTGATATTCAGGTGCTGGCTTGGGCAGTGGGGTGGATGGCGGTGCCAGGCTCAGGGTCAGGGGCTACAAGGCGAGGGGGGAAGTTTAGAGGAGAAGACAACTGACCACTTCTGCATAGGACGCACCCAAGTTGTGTGCCTTTGGGAAATCAGGTGAAAATGTCCAGTGAGTGGGTGCCATGAACCCAGAGCTCAGGAGGGAATCAGCGGGGGCCGAGGAAGGTGGGTAATGTATGTACTTCTGGACTTAGAAATAAATGCCATCACCCAGGACCTGAGACAGAAGGCAATTGTTTAAGGGCTGAGCAGAAAGAAAATGGAGAAAGAGAGGCAGGTAAATCAAGGAACAGGGTTTCAAGGAAGGTGGGAACCACAGGGCCAAATGCAGTTGAGAGATAAAGGGAGAGAGGTGTCCTCTGGGTTTGGCGACCAAGAGGTCACCCGCCCATGTTCTGAGCCAGAGGACTCCTCAGTGGCAGGAGTGGAGCAGAACCCAAAGGACAATGGGTTGGATCATGAATGGGAGACCAGGAAGAAAGCAGGCAAAAGTGGATAGGTGCCCTGGGGGTGTGGAGCCAGCCCTGCAGGCCGGTGGCGGGGGGACTGCACTGTCATTGTAAACCCTACTGGACATTTTTATCTTAAAGCACAGACACACTTCTTTTCGCAGCGTTTATACGATAGGGATTAAGTGTTCAGACTCTGGAGCCAGACAGCTGGGGTTCAAGCCCCAGCTTTGCGCTTGGCTGCGCCATCTCTGTGTCGTGGTTACTTCGTCCGTAAAATGGAGGGTTGGCCATCATAACGTTACTTCATAGGCTGGCGAGAATTCACTGGGTCGATTTGTGTGAAGCGCTTCGAACGTGCTTCGCAGGTAGTAAGTGACCCCCAAATATCGGCCATCACTATACATTTTCCTTTAAAGGAAAGAGATGTGAAGGGAAGGAAAAGTGAGTTTAAACCGAAAAGAGGGGTTGGGGAAGGTTTTTCTTGTCCTTTACGAGGACACGTCGACCTTTTCCATGTATAGAAAGAGCATTCATTATTTGCCATGTGTTGCAAATATCTTTCCCTGGATGTGCTTTCCTGCTAGTTTTCTTTATGCTACTTTTCCGCCTGCAGAAACCTCTAATGTTTGCATAGTCAAAATGTTTTTCTTCTTTAGTCATTAGGTTTATTGAGGATTTTCCCTCCTTGCGGTCAGATTCAGAGCTGTTTCCTTCCAGTTATTTTATTATTTCATTCAATTCTTTACGCACTCGAATTTTTTTCTGCAGGATGGGAAGTGGAGATAGAATTCCCTTCCTCTAAAGAATTAACAAGTCGTGCTCACCTCATATATTGAGTTACTAGTTCACCCTCCATGGATCAGAAGTGTAAACTTCATCACACACAAATAGCCTTTATGATGGACTACAATATAAAAACAGAACAAAAGGAAAAAGAGTTGAGCCACCACCCATAATTTCATTCTAGGGCATCACGCTGCCACCTGGGCTTTTCCTGGCTCGTTCAGACCCTTAAACACGTGAGCTCAAGGCTCCTGGGCAACAGCCCTCCTCCCCAGGATTCTCAGAAGGAAGCAGATAGAACCTGGTTTGAGAAAGATGGGTCGTGTGTCCCACACATACACCTGCAAACACACATGTGCACACGTGGGCACAGACATGCATGCGTACTCACACATATACACAACATAACGTGCACACATTCACACACACAGATACCCAATTTTTGTGTCCCTCCCTAGGATATAAGCCAAAAATGTTTACCCACCTTGCACAGATCAGCAGCTCTGGAAAGCTGACAGTGGAGTGGAGGAGGCAGGGAAAGAGGGAGAGGCAGAAAGGGGGAGAAAGTGAAGGGGGGAAGGGGTAGGGGGAGGGGAAAAGAAAGGGAGGGCCACAGCACCCTGTCCAGGTTCATCCAGCTGGGGCTTTGGGAAGCTGGGGACCTCTCTTGTACTCTAAAGAGGCCATTTGCCCCATCTGCCCTACCCCCAGTTGCTTCAGGAAACAACCAGAATGACCCAGAAGCTCTGAGTTTGATAAGCATCATTGCAGAGTAAAGGGCCATTGAGCACTCAAAAAGCATAAAAATCAAAAGATGGTATCTGACCATCAGTTTCCTGGAAGTGGCCGGCTCTCCGGGTAGAAGGAACACCAGCCACCTTAGCTGCCTGTACACGGCTCAGCTGAGAGGACAGGCCCTGTCACCACGATTGCCAGGGTGGTACGCTTGCCCCCTCCCCAGGCAGGTAGAGCTCACAGCTGTCACGTTAGGCTCTCAGATGGGACAGCTGAGACAGCTCCGCTGGATTGGGGGTCTCCAAGGAGCACCTTCCCAGGGAGCCTGCTGCTGGGAGAAACTTAAGGGGTGTCATTGAAGGGGGGTGCCCTGAGGGAGGCCACTGCCTGGTATCTCTGTACCCCAGTGCCCAGCCCAGCCCTGGCATGTACGAGAGGCTCTAATTTTGTTTGCTACCCAGCTATTAGAGGAATGAAGTAAGTCTGTTTGTCCTGTACTGACCCAGAAAGTTGCTTACTTTTACTGTTCCTGAGAAGGGGAGCTTGCAGGGCGAAGGGGATGTCTAAGTATGGATGCCTGCCTGCCCGGCCGCCGTCAGGATCTGATGGGTCAGAGTGGGTCCCCTGGGGAAGAGGGGAGACCAGGCAGCTACTCCCCCTTTGTTTGCTTCTCCTGTGGGTTGCGTTTGAGGTCCTCATTGTCACTCAAGGGGGACTACTGGACTAGCAGAAGAACGACGCTTCAAACAGGGAGAAAGTCTAGCCTCAAACTTCTTGGTTCCTTCCCTTCTCACAGTTATCTTTCTCTCTCTCCAGCCGCTCTTCAAAGAAAAAAGAATTTTCTTCCCTCCCACAAACCTGCCACATGTTTTCCCTCTACCTCTGCTTTCAGGGAAAAACAAAACAAAACAAAACTGCGCGTGCACACACTCACACCCACACCCTGGAACCTAGCTATAAGCTGCTCACAATTTATATTCCATTATCGTTCCCTCCTGGGAGACAGTCCCCTTTTTTTTCCCCTTAGTTGGCTTGTCCGGACGGTTTATTTGCAGTGACAAATATTAAGCCAGAGCCACACTGAGTAAACCACAATAAAAGATAGGTTAATAAGGTTTTGGAGCTGCGAGTCACGGTACTCTTACCTCTGGTCAGGGTGTCGTTCTCCTCTGTTGGGCTGCCCGTGTCTCTTTCCACAGAAGTCAGGTTTTCCAAGCGAGTTTCTGGGGCCAGAAGACAAAAGGGCAGGACCTCAGCCCTTCACTGGGACGACGTGCCATGCTGCCACGCAGCACACCGTCACTGCTCACCCTTCTCCTCCTTCCCAGGGGGCTCTCCGTGGGTTTGCTGCCACCCTGAAATCCAACCCAAACCCCAGTTTGTCAGCACGGCCCAGGAGACCGATGGGATCTGCCCTTGGCCTCCCTCCCTGACTGTGTCTCCAGCGACTTCTCTCCCCTTTGCCGTGTTCCAGCTGCCCTGCCCCTCTCCCACCGCCAACCCTTGCCTCTGCCTAATCCTCTTTCTCCGTCTCTCGGCCTGTCCAGCTGTTTCTTGCCATTCCATGCTGAGCCAACACGTCCCTTTCTCGACGGCGTCTTCCCAGTCGCTCTATTGGAAAGACCGCCCCCTCCTCCCTGCCCTCCAGCCTCTCAACGCAGCTCCACGGATCCTTATCCCAAATTACCTTATTGACGTTATTTGCTATTTGACCATTTGGCTACCCTACTAGAATGTAAGCTCCGTGTGGGCAGGGAACGGGTCTGTTTTGATCACTGTTGATTCCACAGCATCTAGAACAGCACCAGGCACCTAGCAGGTGCTCAGTAAATAGTTGTTAAGTGAATGACTAAATGGCTTTCCAGCTCCCCGGGGATTGGGGAAGGGGGGCGGCTGTGAGCAATGCCCTCCCCCACCCCCACCCCTGCCTGGGTTTGGGCTGACTGTGTGCTGCTGTGATTACAGACGGAGTCCTTCAAGCTGGGTGAGCCCTACAGCCAGTGCACGGAGGACGGGAGTGACGTGCCCATCAAGAACATCTATAACGCTGTGTACTCCCTCCAGGTATGGGCTGGAGGGGACACCCAGCCCTGGGTGGTGGCCCGGACAAGGTTATATATAGTCCAAGGTGTGTTCGGGACCAGGAACTCTGGTGAGAACACTTGGGGTTCATCCAACCCCTTCAACAGCAAGTGATGCTGGCTGGTTCCAGTCCCCTTCCATCTGTATGTAACCAGAGCTTAACTGATTCCTTGAGGTTTGCACAGAACACAGTGTACAGCCAGACAGGCCTGCTTCCTACACGGGCCTTGGCGAGTGAGGGACAGAGGGACGCGGTCTGGGAGAGACGCTAGCTGAGAGGTTGTCCGCTTGGCTTCCACACCCTCTCGTGTCCCTCACTTGCTGACGACCTTGGGAAAATTGTGTCATAGCCAACAATCCCAGGGCAGGTTGGACATGATCAGGGGCTGCCAACTGGCAGCCCTAAGCCCCTTCCAGTCTGCATACCTAGTTTTTCTGGCTTGGATGGTGTTTAAAAGACAGAGAATTTCACAAGAAAACCCAAATTCCCAGCTTCTCCCGAACAACCAGATTAGGCCTGTCTTCCTGCAGGGTAAATAGCGAGTGGAATTGCCCCAGTGAAAGAGGCAGGTGTTCCGTGGTTCCTCACTGTCCCCAGCAGCCCTGAGGGTAGGACCTGCATCCCTGGCCCCTGTCGGTATTTGAGTTTTCAACCCTAGAGTGCGATCATCTGTTGCGCCTTGTCTCACGTTCTGGGAGTCTACAGTTCACCTGTGACTGGGGTACCCAGAGAGTCGATGAAAATCATCGCAGCAGTCCAAAACGACCAGGCGCCCTTCCTCACAAAGTCCTCTAGCTTACGTCAGAGCTGAGCTGGCAGGGGGTAGAAACATTGCATGAAAAAACACTGTTAGAGAATGTCTGCTTGTAAGAAATAGAAATGCAATCAAACTGACTTCAAGACCAAAAAAAAAAATAGTCAGCTCAATGGAAAGACACCCTTAGAGAATATTTAGAGTATTTAGCAAGAGAGACTGCCATGTACAAACATTTTACAAGTGTTTCATTTATCAATTCGTTTCATGATCACAACAACCTCACGAAGTAGGCCTTGTTATACTTATTTTAAAGATGAAGAAATCAAAGCATCAGAGAGGTTAAGTAACTTGCCTGAGGTCACACAGCTGGAGGCTGGCAAAGCTGGGATTTGAACTTTGAACCTGAGTAGCCTGCCTTCAGAGCCCCTGCCATTAGCTTTTATGCTAAAGCTTCGTGGATATTGCGGTAGCTTATCATCTGCAAGGATCCAGTGTGGGGGGCTCGGCCCTGAGAATAGGAAAGTTGGAGCCTGTGTTCATTTCTCTGTTTTGTGGCATCTGCTCTAGTTCCCCACTTATCTCTGGGTTGGTGCTCACATGATGGAAAATGGCCACCCCATCCCCAGCTCCACTCAGCCTGGTCTCAACCTGTCCCGTAAGCCTGAATTCTCACAGAATTTTCTAGCTTGGTCTCTTTGGAGTCAGCCCCCTCACCCCTGCCCCGTTGGCTGTGACGTGAGGGGCACGTTCACGTGGGAGGCTGACCCTCTGGACCAAGGCCTAGCGGGGAGGGGGCTCTGGCTTCCAGCACAAGGCGCCTGAGGGCACCGTGGGGTCTCTCGTTTCAGATCTGCCTGCACTCATGCTTCCAGACCAAGATGGTGGAGAAATGTGGGTGTGCCCAGTACAGCCAGCCTCTGCCTCCGGGAGCCAGCTACTGCAACTACCAGCAGCACCCCAACTGGAGTGAGTGAGACCCCCACCCCCAGCCTCGCACACCCCAGGAGCCGGGTCAGCCCAGCCCCGGCGCCAGCCTCTACGGCCTTTTGCCAGAGGGAGGTATTGGTAGAGAGATGTTACCCAGAGTTTTACTCCTCTCACCCAGCCTGGCTTGAATGATGCGTTACGGTTAAGGACCACATGCTACTCGCCAGCCTGTGCTAAGAGCTTGACGGCCTCTGTCAACTCCAGGAGACAGGAACTAGTGATAGGACCCTTTGACAGGACAGGGAACTGAGGATCAGAGAAGTTAAGCAACTTGCCCAAGGCCACACAGCCAGGGAGAAACAGAGCGAGGTTGCCAAGGTGAGGGCTGCCAACTCCCCAACGCCTGTCTCCCAGCATCACAAAGCAGCATTTGTTTCCAGAGGTGCCGTGAAATCAACAGTGATCAAAACAGACCCGTTCCCTGCCCGCACGGAGCTTACATTCTAGTAGTAGGGTAGCCAAATGGTCAAATAGCAAATACGGAAATAAGGTAATTTGGGATAAGGATCCGTGGAGCTGCGTAGAGAGGCTGGAGGGCAGGGAGGAGGGAGCGGTCTTTCCAATAGAGCGACTGGGAAGACGCCATCAAGAAAGGGACGTGTTGGCTCAGCACGGAATGGCAAGAAACAGCTGGACAGGCCGAGAGACGGAGAAAGAGGATTAGGCAGAGGCGAGGGCTGGCGGTGGGAGAGACAGTGGTGGGAGAAACCATTAGAAGGAGATTCTGGGGGCATCCCTGGAGGGCCCCGGGAAGGGCCCTGTGACCCCCGAGGCTCACTCCACCCCGTACCTTGTTTCTCAGTGTATTGCTATTACGAGCTACACCAGGCCTTTGTCCAGGAGCAGCTGGGCTGCCAGTCGATGTGCCGGGAAGCCTGCAGGTGAGTGCCCGTGGAGTGATGGCCGGGCCGGGCCGGGCTGGGCCCAGCCAGCCGCACTCACCCTGCCTTCTTCCCTTAGCTTTAAGGAGTGGACACTGACCACGAGCCTGGCGCAGTGGCCATCTTTGGTTTCCGAGGTACGTTCTTCTACCCTCACTTCCCCCTCGAGCTCCTCAGCCTGGAGCCAGACGTCCTGGCTGGGATCCCTGGGGGAGGCCCAGGGCGGGGGGGCTGGGGCTGCATGCAGGGGGCTGGCCCCGGCCTCTCCAGGCAACCCCAGGCCACTCACCTCTCCATCCCAGAAATGGCTGCTGCGCGTTCTCACGTGGGACCAAGGCCAGCAAATAAAGAAAAAGCTCAACAAGTAAGCTGACCTCCGCCCTGTTTCCTCTGCCGGCCCTGCCNATCACCCCCTTTTCAGAAGCCAGCTCACCACTGTCCCCACCACGTCCCCACCACTTCTTCTGGTGACAACCGACTATCTCACTCACTCACCTGCCTGGCCCCTGTTGGCATTGGACTGTGGGATCCCAGCGACGAATCGTAATTACTAACTGTCATGTATATCTTTCCATTGAACTAGGAGCCAGTTTAGTGAGGGGAGGCAGGGTGGAGGGCACGACAGTACCTGCATCACAGTGTCACACCTGAAGACTCCAGCACGGGGTGCAGAGCGTTCAGAGTTAGGGGAGGAGAGGCTGAAGAGTGCCTGGCCCCCACGCTCACACCTGGTGTGGCAGCCACTTTTTAAAATATCCATTTTCTTCACTGAAGTGTAACCTATGCAGAGAGACACGCACACAGCACAAAATATACAGCGTGATGAATATTTGTCACACACTGAACCCAACTGTGTGCCCCACACCCAGATCAAGAAAGAGTCACCAGCACCCCCAGAAGTCCTTCCCATGTCCCCCTTTCCATCACTAACACCCCCTTCTCCCACCAAGAGTAGCCCCTATCCTGACTTTCAATAGCAGAGATTGGTGTGTCCCATTGCTGTATTTTATATAAATGAAAAAACACAGTGTCTACCATACGCATTCTTTTGCTCACTGTCAGGTTTACGATCCACACATCTTGTCGCCTGTACTTATAGGGGGTTTGTTCTCATTGTCGGTCATGTTCCCATGTGAATATACCACAACTGACTGACCCGTTCTGCCACTGACTTTTGGTAGCTTTGCGTTTGGGGCTGTGACGAACAGCGCTGCTGTGAATATTCTAGTCCATGTCTCTTGTTACATAAAGACACACACACACACACACACACACACGTGTAGCTTTACGCGTATCTTCTTCACGTTGCTGGGTATTTCTCCTGGGAGTACCAGCGGCAGGAGACCAGCGTGCTCCGCAGNATCTCCTCGCTGGCTTCCTCCTTGCCAAACCCTCTTTTCATTCACTCATTCTTTTATTCCACAAATATTTATCGAGCTTGAATCATGAGCCAGGCCCTGAGCTCGGCCCGGGGTTCTCAAATGCTGTGACTGCGGGATGAACGCAAATTTAGCATTGTGGCCTGTGGAGCATTTAACCGAAATCCAGGTCTCATGAAACAGCACCTCCTATGATGCCGAGTGCGCTCGGCTGCTTTTCAGAATAGTGCACGCTAGCGGAGCCTAGCCACCCGCTTCCATCCGTTCCAGATGGTCACGGCACAGTTCTCAATGGCCAGTGCTCATGTCAGCTGATAAAAATTCCAAATGTCTCCGTGGATGCAATCTGGTCTTTTCTCTCCTAGTTCCCTTTGTCAGAGGCACTGGTCATGGCCCGGTACACTTATTTACTGGCTTCCTGATGTATCTTGACCCAGTTGGAAAACGACTCCTCAGAGCCTTGTACTTCTAATCCCACTTGAACTTTCCACATTGAAATTCATTTCCAACGGACCTTTAGCAAAAAGCAGCCAGGCCAGAGTTCAGGGAACCTCAGCAGAGTGAGACAAAGGCGGGAGAGGGTGGGGGAATGGAACCCACATCTCTGTGGGCCAGCGCCGGGCCTGGCCCCGTGGGAACCAGTCTGGCTTCCAACGTGTATTAAACGTTTGGTGCCAGGTGCTTTGTGAGTGCTGGGGGGTCCCATGATGACCGAGCAGACATAACTCCTGTCCCAAGATGCTCACACCTAGTGATAAAAACAGACTCTGACCGAGCAATTGCACACTATGGGACCAGTATTGCCAACCGCTGACCTCCGAGGCTAAGTCAAGCGCCCCAAGATGTAACCCGTTATTTCCAGCTTTTCCGGAAAGGCCCAAATCTCTCTTCTCACACAAAGAGCTCAGTAATAGCTGCCCCACTGGAATCCGTCTGACTTTTCCAGCTTGCCACAGACCTATCAGGAGACAAGTCAGTGCAGCAGTTAAAAGCACAGACTTCGAAGCCTCCTCTCTTGAGGTTCGAGTCCTGGCTCTGCCAATCCTGAGCTGTGTCATCGGGCAAGTTGCTTCACTGGTTCATGTCTTAGTTTCCATACCTCTAAAATGGGGATGATTCAAACACCCTACGTCCCAGGGCTGTGCAAATTAAATGAGTTAATTCACACAAGATCCTTGGCCCAGAGCTTGGCCACACAGGAAGTGTCTGCTAAATGTTAGCTGCTTTAATGGTTATCACCATTATTACCTTATACGCAGCCTACCTCGCTCATTGGCCTGACCTGCCCGTCTCCTGTACATATTTGAGATTGCAATCAAACAACCACAAACGTCAGGGTTTAATGAAAAGCAGGGTGCTGTGAGAGTACAGCTGGGTGGACTGACTTAGGCTGGAGGTTGGGAAATGGTTCTTACTGAAGGAATGACAGGAACCACCAGGGCCACGCTGGTGCTATGCTCTGGGTGTGTAAGGAGCCTGGGGTGCCAGGTCCTAAGACCCCAAGGAGCTCAGAGACTGAGCCGAGCTGGGGGCCAGGCAGGAGGGAGGCAGCCGTGCAGAAGGGCTGGTCACCTGGCCAAGGGCAGAGGTGCCTGACTCACCGTGGCCCTGCCTGTTGGACTTTCTGTAGGACAGACTTGGCCAAGCTCTTGATATTCTACAAAGACCTGAATCAGAGGTCCATCATGGAAAGCCAGGCCAACACCGTGAGTAGCTCCCTTCCGGGACCCGTTCTGGGTCTGCGAATGTGCCCATCAGCCTGGCCTCGGGGAGCAGGTCAGAGCACGGGG